CCTGGGGCAGGCAGGCAGGCAGGCAGGCCCCAGGGCCAGAGAACATGCTGAGCTGCTGCCGGCTGAGCCTGGGGCAGATGGGCAGGGCGGAGCTGAGGGCATTGGAGGCCCCTCCTGGGGCTGTGGGTGGGGAGGCTGAGACACCCCAGGGGGCCGAGGCAGAAGAACACCATCTCCGCTCTGGAGAAGCCACCAGCCAGGGCCTCCAGTTCCTCCCCCAGGACATCCAGCCGGTCAGGGAGTGATGAAGTGAAGGAGAACTTCCCAGGCGAAGCACAAAGACAGCGAGAGCGGCACACACTCTAGAAGTGCTGAAGACCGAAGAGGAGGAGGAAATCTCACAACCAGTGAAAGGACAGCAAGCCCGAGGCTCTCCCTGCCGAGGCAGCTGTCTTCAGCAGCCCCGGTGACCACAGGTATCTTTAAGGAGTTCAGAAAAATAACCGAATTCTGAACCCCCCAAAAAGAAAATCCTTCCAAATGAAGTTTAGGTGAAGACACGGGCAGCGGGCCAAGAGAAACTCAAGGAAGGGGTTCATGCAGAAGGACCCTGGAACTCGAGGATGCAGCGACCTACTGAATATGGGCTGTCCCCAAACAGTGCCTCCTCCTCTCGAGGGACTAAACATCTGTGTGACTAAGACAGATGACCAGTAACTGCACAGGAGACAGAAAGGGATAAACGGAGCGGAAAACCTCTGATCTAAGGTAGATTCTAGTATAGTTACAGGCCATAAACACCAGGGAAACATCAAAAAACAACAAAAAGACTGCTAATAATGAGCTAACAAAAGGGAAATGAAAAACTGAAAATACCTGGTTAATCCAAAAGAAGGGGAAAAGATACAACTAAAAGACAAAGAGTGTGGAGGCGGGTTCAGGAAGGCGGAAATTCAAACAAGACACTGATGAACCTGCCAGCACAAGCAAGAAGCGGACGGTTCCGGTTTATTAAAACTAGACGAGTCAGGGCCTCCCCGCTGGCCTGGTATTAGCGCTGATCAGTACCACTCCGCAGTTCCATTCCAGGCCAGGGGGTGACCCACAGGGCGCAGCAGACCTCTCCTGACCTGCCCGCTGCTCCCCTCAGCAGTGTACATCGTCCATCTGCCTGTTCTGCTCCCCGCTGTCTCGGGTGACTCCTCTCTCCTTCTCCTCCACCCCCCACCTCCGGCCCACAGTTCTTCTATGTGTCATTCAATCTCAAAAAAAAAAACAAAACTAAGTTTTAAAACAAGATGTATCACTAGTGAGATTTTTATAGCAATAAAACTGTGTTAATGGAACAGAAAGATACAGTATAATGCTAAATGTACAATCACTTAATAACAAAGACAAAATAAACAAAAGCAAAGAGAAACTCAACTAAAAGGAGAGAAAAATTGAGCTATAAAACTATTTTAATGTATCTCTCAGTAACAGACAAAATAAAGTGAAAAGTCAGAAACTTTGTAAGTTCTGGAAAACGAAGTTAACCACTTAAGCTGAAGCACCTATGTGCTTTTGGAGAGTAGCAGGGACTTTTGTCCAACTGACTACAGGCTTAGTAGGCAAGCTTCATATTCAGTGTGAATGAGTGCTATGTGCTCTGAAAGCAGTGAAATAAAATCAGACCTCCATAACCAGAAATGACTAGAAAACCCCACTCTTGGGGAACTGAGTCAATACACATGGATCAAGAAAAAAATTTCAATGGAAGCTATAAAGTATTCTTAAGTCAATAGTATTATGATAGTGTCCCATTATTAAGCTGTGAAAAGCAGGCAAAACTGTGCTCAAAGGGACTTTTTTCAGCCCCCAAATGCATATACTGGAAAAGAAGTTTGTAGAACTGCCTGACACTTGCCTAACGAGGTGGATACAAGAGAAAGTCAGAAAATGTAGAAAGTAGCAGCAAGGAAACAAGAGAGAACAGAATGAATAAAACAGGAACCCATGTGTAACAATAAGGGAGATCAACAAGGCCAAACGCTGTCTCTGAGTAAAATAAAGAGTCTGACAAGTCTCTGGCAAGATACAAAGAAAAAAAATGAGGAGGGAAGGAACAAATGGCCATTATCAGGAGAGCCACAGAAAACATGCTTGTCCTCCAGAACGTGGGGAGACTAAGACACAAGTGAATAACTTTATGCCAAAATGTTGATTGTTTAGATCAAATGGAAAAACCTTGGGGAAATGGATAAACTGTAGGAAGACCAGGGCGAGCGCAGGAAGTCAGGCCGCAGGAAGTCAGGCCGTGACAGTGAGGGTGGCCCCCCGCTGGAAAGGGCCCGTGACCTCACTGACACTGCCTGGGCAGGAAACCCCGAGGCCCTCATGCAGCGGTCACGTCGAAGCAGAACTCCCAGAATGGTGCAAGTTACGTGCCATCCCGGAGAGAAATGAGCAGAGGCCAGTGAAAGCATTTCTGTCGGGCTTCTCGCTCAGAGTTCCGGTTAACGTGGCTGCTTCTACACGAAGAAAACTATAGGCCAGGCTGGCAAATGAGGGCTTCTCCCAGATATGTGAGGAAGACAGGACACCCAGCCTCCACAAACTTTTGCAGAAGGTAGAAAGAAGGAATGCTGTGTAACTTATGAAGTCAGCAAAGCCTTATTATCACGAAATTACAAAGACGTTGTAAGACAAGAGACGAATTTCGTTCCAGATATATTAAAAAAACGGAACACCCAAACAAAATATTAAAGACTAAGGTCTACAAGACACACACTTCCTTTCACAAATGAAGTTTGTTCTGTTGCCGACATCCAAGGGCAGTTTAACATTCAAAGTCAATCAATGCATAATCCAGCACACTGAGAGAATAAAAGGGAACAGCTGTGTAATCATCTTAAGAGATACAGTAAAAATGTTTGATAAAATTCAATATCCATGCATAAAAAACTTTCAGCAAACTAGAAAGAGAAGGGAACTTCCTTAATCCGATAGTGATCATCTATAAAGAGCCTCAGAAAAATCATTCTAAATGATGAATTGTTGAAAGCTTTCACTTTGAAAAAGCACAGCATTGTCTACAAAGGGCAGGCAGGCCCCTGGGCCACAGGGAAGCTCCAGGAAGAGACCCAGACTCGCAGGCACGTGACTGA